ACATGCCTTTTCCAATTCCAAAACTTAGTAAAGAACCTTGAAGGGTGTTGTCCAAATGCGATATTCTTTAAACGAAACATCCACCGAAATCCTTTCGAAAAAGTTTCAGGGATTCTCCAAACGCCATATTCTTGGAACCACGATTACAATGTGCAAATTGTATAGTTGATAAAATTAAGAGAGCTCAAAATAAAGCTCAACAATTGGAAAGGAAACGACAAATTAAAGAAAATTGTCACTAAGAATGAGAGAGAATGGACTTATTAAAAGAACTATATAGGAACCTAGCCCAAAAAAAGAATTATTGAAAAGAGACTAATTTCAATGTCACTAAGAATGAGAGAGAATGGACTTATTAAAAGAAATATATAGGAACCTAGCCCAAAAAAAAATTATTGAAAAGAGACTAATTTCCAAAAATATTGTCAGGAGCAATGGAACTTACTAATAACTTAACGGCAGAATGGCCTAAATGGCACCTATACTTATCCCACTTTGTCATGCCGGTCCCCAAACTTAACAATTTGTCAATTGAACACTTACACTCCTTCAAACCGTGTATAATAAACGCTTATGACACGACGCTATCAGTGCGTGTAATACAATCTCCTACACGTAGGACGCCACGTCAAGAAATTAAACCACATAGGCTCCAGGTCATTTATTATGGCCATAGAGGAAAATAAAATAGGAAATAATTATTAACCTCCAACCCAAATTTTCCCCTCATTTTACACTTATTCGCTTAGGTTTAGTCCCTAATGAAGGCGGCGACTTGGGTCGGCGGCGGGAGGTTGTCGGCGACGGTTCCGTAGTTCACAATCAAAATCAAATAGAACACTCATCTAAATTAAGTGAATCTCAAAACGTTGAGATGGAGAAGGGATTTATACAAAATTCAATTAAAATTTTAGGAATTGTGACCCTCCTCTGCATCGGCTGCTTCGAAGGTGTGGCAAGCCACGAGTTCCGGCACCTTATCATCTGCAGCAACACCTTCAGGCGCCCAGGTAGCCGGGGCAGCAATAGGTGCTTGCTTGTGGAACTGCTCTGCTAGCTTCTTCAAATTCTCCAAATTATCAGGGCCCAACTAGTGAATATTGAGGAAGAATATCCTGCAACTTCTTGGTCGGAGGGGAAAATACGCTTTGGGTATTAAATCAAAATAGGGAGAAAGAGAAAGGTGGGCATGAGGAAAAACAGATCCACCCATTTGCTTCAGTTATTTGGATCCACTCGTTTGCTTTTTTCTTTTTTTACTTATTTTATTTTTTATTCTTATTTTACTGACTTTTTCTTCTTATTTTAATTATTTCTAGTTCAAAATGCTCAAACTCACGCTCATTATCCGCGTAAACTACACCACTTTGTCCAGCTCAACCATTATTTTGCCACATGTGCTTGGTCAACGGTGAGAGGGGTTTAAATAATAGGTTTTGATCAAGTTAAAGTGTCTGGATGAAAACAAGTGAAGTTTAGGGACCGGCATGACAAAGTGGGACAAGTATAGGTGCCATTTAGGCCATTCTGCCTAACTTAACAGGTACAATGGTTCATTTCCACCTCCAATATGTTAGAGAACGGAAGAATTGTAGATTTTGAGAAGAAGAAAAGGCTTTTTGTATTTTTAATTGTGTTTACATCCCATGAGCAAGGGAATTTATACAAAGCTCCTAATGCTAATTAAGGAAATGAAAAAAATCTATACAATCAATCCAACTAACAAATCAAATCAAATCAAATCTCCTAAAATTATGCTAATCAACAATATCCTAAATATAATAGAATCTCCTGAAATCATACTAATCAACACTCTCCCTCCACTTGGTGCAAAGATGTCGCACATGCCCAACTTGCAACTAAACATATGAAAAGTTCGCTAGTTGAAACTTTTGGTAAACACATCAGCTAGTTGTTTTTCCGATGGCACATAAAACAAACTAAGACACCAGTTGTAATTTTTTCTTTGATGAAGTGTTAATCGATTTCTACATGCTTTGTTCGATCATGCTAGACTGGATTATAAATTATACTAATGGCAGCCTTATTTGTCACGATACAAGAAAAGTTTTCTTTTTTCAGATAATCTCAATTCTTCTAGTAGCTTTTGTGGCCAAAGCAGTTCACAAACACTCTGGGTCATAGCACCATATTCTGCCTCTGCACTTGATCTCAGTGTTGTCAAAAGCGAAAAGCTCTAAAAAGCGTCCCAGGTCTATTAGGGCTTTAAGCGCAAAACGCAATTAAAATGTGGGCTTTAGTAAAAAAAAATGAAGGGAAAAAACAAATATATATATATATATATATATATATATATATATATATATATGTATATGTAATTCAAGAAAAAAGATAAACAAATTCACTCATAATGTTTTACTTAACAACTAATACGCTTATTTGTCAATTCTTATTATTGTTTGGTACTGATCGATTCAAGATAGAACTCAGGGACAATAAGGCACATGCCTTAGCGCCTTGCTTATGTTGAAGCGCGCTCCCTGAGCTTTTTTGAGCTTTAGGGCTTAAGTGGGCCTTTAACAACACTGCTTGATCTAGCAACTACACTTTGCTTCTTGCTTCTCCAAGTAACCAAGTTTCCTCTTACGAGCGTACGTTACCGGATGTAGATCTTCTGTTATTCTAGAGATCCAATCCAATCCGCGTCTTTAAAAGGCTTCTATTTGGAGGTCATTATGTTCGGAGAAAAGTAAACCTTTGGAGCAAACTTCAGATACCTCATACTGTGAAAGACAGCTTGCATATGAGGATCTCAGGGATCATGCATGAATTGACACACCCGGCTAGCTGAATAAGATATGCCTGGTCTACTGTGGGAGAAATAAATGAATCTTCCAACAACCTCTGATATCTCTCCTTATCAACTGACTCTCCAACTCCGCTTTGTAACTCGTGATAACTTCCAATGGGCGATTATACGGGCTGCAACCTGTCATACCAGTTTCTTTCAAGAGATCCAGAATATACTTCCTTTGAGAAATAAAGATTGCTCTTTTTGATCTAGAAACCTCAATTCCTAACCGCCTATACCCTGTATTATTTCTTGGTTGACATCATTACTTTCCCAAAAAAGGCTTGACCAGAATTTTGAATTCCATCTAATATAATACAAGTCATCACGCGATCTACCACGCCAATCATTTTCCCTGTTTGAAGATCCTGAAAAATACGACGATCGTGAAAGGACTCGATTATACAGTTTAGAGCTTTGCTAATGGCACTAACACATAAAAGATTGAAAAGGAACTCAGGGACATGGAGCACGGATGATAGTTTAATATCAGGAGTACAAACGACAGAATCTGTTCCACGGATAGGTGTTAAAGAACCATTGGCTATTTTAACATTATCTTCTTTGAGACACGAAGAATAGTTTCTAATGCCTTTAGAAGAACATGTTATGTGTCTATTTGTACAAGAATCAACAATCCAAAAATTAAGGTGAGCAGCAAAGGCAGTACCTGATTGTACATAATTGGAAGTAGCAATATTAGCGGAGACAAGTTTGGCTAGGAGGAGACAAAGAAGCTGCATTTCATCTGAAGATAAGATTTCTCCAGAAATCGTCTCCTTAAATGTATCCATATTTTCTACCTACTTAGAAAGAAATCTGAAGAAAATTGCTCAGAAACATTCTGCCTCGCCGAAAACCAAATCTGTGTCGACGGAACCTTAACTCTAGTGAACAGAAAAATTAAAACTAGTAGGCAAAGGAAGTACCTGATTGTACATAATTAATTAAAACTGATCAGAAGGAGTTTGTGTTGCGAACAGCCATCAAGAGAGAGAAAATTCAACCTCTTTGATTAAAATGAAACCCTAGTGTTACGAGGGAGATAACTCACCTCAAAAAGATAGCAATGACTCTAATACCTAGTGTTTTTGTGTGTGTGTTTACATCTCATAAGCAAGGGACATACAGAGCTCATAATGCTAATTAAGGAAATAAAATAAATCCATACTATCAATCCAGCAATCAAATCAAATCAAATCTCTTGATATCATGCGAGAATTAACAATCTCCTAAATATAATCAAATCTCTTAAAATCATGTTAATCAACAAGAATAATGGTCGGAAGATGGGTAATCTCAAAGTCGTAGACTAATAGCAACTAGTACGCCAAGAGAGGTGGTGTTTGGGTGGTCGAAAATGGCTGGAAAGCACCTAGGTAGAGACGACACAAGTACTCTTAAGAATATCGGAAACGATAAGTGAAAATATGGAGGAACAATTGCCTTAACCTACAAATTGCGATGAATAAGCTCATGAGCATCGGACTAGGGACGGTTGAGCAACTCAAGAGAACCGCCTTACCTTATTCCACCATAGAGATAGAAGTGAGGAGGTTGTGAAGATGGCCTCGTTTTCCATTCATCCGGTCCGATAAATGGAGGACCGACCGACCCGAGTTCTCACAAGTGTTGGCAGGTTCTAGAGTGCCCGTCCAACATTCAATTAGAGATAGTCCAGCACGAGAGCCGTATGATATAGAAAAGGTCGCAAACTATTCAACGCATGCACAACCATGGCTACTCCAACGAATCGCGCAGGATTTTTCTACTGGAATATCGTGAACCTCTTGGTCGTGCTAATTGAAGCACATCACTTAAACACACAAAAAAAAGGCACCTTGGGTATCTCTCATAGCCACTGGAAAATTGCATAGTGATGAGATTTCTCTAGCACGCATTGTTGATAAATGCACAATGAGCGAATTTTCACAATGTTTTGATGCCTTGTGCAAAAAAAAAAAAAAAAGGAAATAAAATTAAGTGAATGCATGGAAAACCTATCTTACATCCAATCTCCTTATTTTATACTTCTTATGTGTATTTAGTGATATTATTTATGTGAAACACTTATAGACAATTCTCAATATAACATGTATGTCTAATCAATTTATATAATTTATCAAAACCACATTTCAGAACAAGAGTTCAATAGATGAATAGATGATACAATAGTGTGATACTTCACCTGACCATATGAAGAGATTTGAGGCACCATGCTCCAGTGATTTGGTTCAGATTTCGTACCCTGTGGCATTAAAATGGACATTCTTGAGACTGCATATGGAGTTTGATCGCAATCAGGACAAGGATAAAGATATAAATATGTGAAAAGAGGAAATCAAAAACCAAGTAAAATTCAGATAACAACGAATGCAGCAACTAAAGGTTTAGGGAATAATATAACAAAAGCAAGTCTGGTCGTTATGTTTTTATTTGTCCAGATGACAGTAACTAATACACCTTTTAGTAACTTGATAAGTGACCCAGAAAATAAAATTACTTTAACAAGATGGAGCTTTAGGGCCAAACTAAAATTGCACCTAGGGAAAGATTAGACCATATTTGAACAAAATAGAGAAGTCAAAAAAGGGAACAAGCTCAGAAATACGTTAATTCTCCCATTTCAATTTGAATATCAAGATTCAAAATTTCAACATTCTCATTTCTGCCACCATCATCTTCTAGACATGGGAATTCTTGACTGGACAATACTCTGTCTCATACAACATAGTCGGTCTAACCACCGCTCTGTAGAACTTACCTTTAAAAATAATTGGCAATATCAACAGCCAACATAAAAATAATAGTGCTGAAACTTAAGTGGAAAATTCAATAACATCATTGACTGTGTCAAGATACTCCTTCAATATTTCCAATAAAAGTACAAAACATACCCAATGAAGTCATATCTAAGATTCTATGATCACCTGTGCTCTTTCAGTTTTATGCACTTTGTGAAAAATCAAAAAAGTGAAAAACTTAAAACCTCTTACAAGTAAGTTTTTGATACTCCACTCTCAACCATCGAAAAGTATTTCACCATCTACGTGGTCTTGCTGTATCACTATAATTTATCATCCATTCTTCAATCTCCCGGTGCAACTCTCACTCCAGCTAAAGACAGCACCAAGAAGACAGACTTCAATTAAAAGGAAGGTCACAAAATACAGCCTTTAAAATGGCATGACGAGATATCCAGATGGCAGATTCCACGCTGCATCGAAACAACAAATCCAGCTTCTGAAGATTGGTCTGCTTGATCAAAGAAATCATGTCTTACATGCAAGTGTGACAATCTTCCAGATCAACAACATAACAGTGTTAAAGAGGAATATGGTGAAAGGACTTTATAACAGGCGTATATGCTGCAACTACTGCGCCCTAAGCATTTAGAAACCACCTCTAAAGACAGTCAATACCACCAACATGCTATAAGCATTTTGATCCTAAAGAGCCGGTCCCATAAGCACTTCCTAACTACATAATTAATATATGCATCTCTGAAATATAACCACCAGCCTGCTACAAGCATTTTGATCCTAATGAGCCGGTCCCATAAGCACTTCCTAACAACATAATTAAAATATGCATCTCTTTTATTTGAATTTGTTCTTTTATACTTAATACTCCTCTATGAAGTTTAAAACTCGAATGGGAAAAGAAAGTCGAATTTGAACATGACATAGATGTTCACTGATCAACAAAGAAAATAGAAATACAATACACGCATCCAGAAATTGTTGGAAAGATGTACCTAAAACATGAAATATGTGTGGTTGGATACAATTGACCCGACACAAATATAATAACATTTTGGAAGCTTTGTTCTTCATAGAGGGGTAGCATTCTGTTTATACGGTTAAGTTAACATGAAACAAACAACAAAAGTCTATTTAAAATTTTGAAATAAAACTGAAGGAACCAAAGAAAACTAGAAGAATTTGGTTCTATAACATTGAAACTAAAAACCAAAACAAAACACCAACAAAATTTTAGTGCGCTAAGTCCATTTTTCAGCTGAAAAGAATGGATGCCACCGCTACACTTAGGAGGTCCTTCTATGGCTAATACGCCACTGATTTTTTTCATTACGCGGTATATTTGAAATAAAATAGTTTATATGCACGTGGAAATGAATTGTGTTCTCAGTACTACTAGTTGATTCTTGAAGAGAGACCCCATGTATTTGTTTCCCACTAACTTTGTATTTCCTATACATAGCAAACAACAATCTCACCTTAGCCCCAAAAAGAGTTGAGGTCGGCGGAACGAATCCTCACTTCTTTCTTTATAAGCTCCATTCATATCATCATCATACAAAAATAAAATAATAGCCGTGAGATATAATATATACATATAAGTTCTCTAACAAATTGATAACCTATTCCTAACAAATTGAAAGCCTATATATATATATATAGTGAGTAATAATAATAAGAAAAAATAGTAATAATATTAAAAGTTCTCTAACAAACTGAAAGTCTATTCCTAACTAGTAAGTATCACCTATATGAATATTTTTCTTTCATTATGTTAACCAAGTCTGCATTGATTCTAAATTTGTAGGCCTTCCAAGATAACTTATTTCCATGTGATTATAGGTCTACCTTGTCTTCTTCTAACACCTTCATTTATCATAGTTTCACACCTACAGACCAGTGCACCTGTTGAGAGACACAAAACATGATCAAACCATCTCAAGCAACCTTCTCTTATTTTATCCTCAATGCGTGCTACTTGCACATCATGGCAAATTTGATCATTTTTTTTATCTTATCTAATCTTGTATGATGGCACATCCATCCTCGCATCCACATCTCTGCAACACTCATCTTGTATATATGTTGGACATTAGCGGCCTATCATTCACCACCATTTAACATTCTCGGTCTTATAATTGTTCTATAGAATTTACCTTTCACTTTGGTAGATATCCTTCTATCACATAATACCCCAGTAATACTTCTTCATTTCAACCATTGGGTTTTAATAATGAGTAACATTTTCATCTATTATTCCATTCTCTTGAAACAACGAACCAAGACATCTAAATTGTTTGCATTTTGGTACGGTAATCTCTAGTCTCACCTCATTTCGCTCTTCTCATGTCGACTAAACGTAGAGCGCATATATTCAATCTTGCTTCTACTTATCCTAAAACCCTTACTCTTTAAGATGCGTCTCACTAGCCTCACTAGCTAGTTTCGTTGATTAATACAATATCATAAACAAATAGCAGAAACCATGGGACCTCATCTTGCATTGTGTGGGTTACCTCATTCTTAAGTTTATGTTGTATTGCTCTTTCCTAAAGTTTCATCGTATGACTCATGAGCTTAATACCACAAAAGTTTGCAGAATTTTGAATATCTCCTTTGTTCTTATAAATTGGAACCAAGGAACTATTCACCACTCATTGGGCATCCTACGGCTTCTTATTATAGCATTGAATAACTTGGTGAGCCATTTTACTCCAAGACACTTCCAAACCTCTATAGAGATACTACCGGACCACAAGTTTTTTTAACACTCATATTTTTCATGGCATCCTTTAACACAGTCGGCCTAATTCTATGAGTGTAGCAAAGCTTCTATTGAACACAGACGTGTTGAGGTCTAAAATGTTATTCTCTTGGTTTGAGTTGAGCAATAGATTAGAATTGCCTCTCAATCTCTCCTTAATCTTGTTATCTTCTATCATCACTTATTAAGAATGTCTTTAATAAACTTCACCTGGTTTAAATCCTTACCCTTCTTCTCTCTCAGTCGTGCTAGTTTAAACATTTCTTTCTCCCCTTCTCGGTGTCCTTAGCTTTTCGTACAAGCTATCGAGAGCTTATTCTCGAGCTTTACTAACAGCCTTCTTAGCTTCCCTCCTAGTTCTCTTATGTTCTTCTAAGGCTTCTTCGTCATCTGTTTTTGGCAACTTTCTATTATATTGTCTATTAGCCTTAATAAATCTTTGTACCTCATCATTCCACCACTAAGATTCTCGTGGTTGAGGCCAGGCTACCTTCGCATATAGTTTTTCTTGAAATGCTAACTGGTTAGCACCTTTTTATACCCACCACCCAATGCGTGGTTGTTTTCAAGTCATCTCCTTTTCTCACTCTACACTCGAGTTGAAATGTAAATATAAATTAGCTTTACTTCATGTATTTACATTATGTCTAGCTTATTTATGTCATTTCATGTAAACATAAATAAAGGAGGGGTCTAATACTCAGAGTTTTCAACAATCATTCAAATTTTGTATTGGTGTCGCTCCTTCCTAGTACCAAGTTGGGTCTTTGTTGACTAGCTTGATTGTAGAAACTTAATTTTAGGAGATCTGATTATGTTGACTAGATTGATTGTAGGAAGCTTAATTTTAGGAGTTTTGATTATGTTGACTAGATTGATTGTGAACAACTTTCAAGGGCAAAAAAACAACTTCCAAGGTCCGAACCAACAACAATGGCAGCCTCAAAACAATCCAAGCCCAGTATATGAGGCACCAACAACCCCTTTCCATGGAGGAACTCAACACACTCATGGGCCAGCTTTGCCGGACCATGCCCTTCTTCCCACTCATGAACCTGGAGCCATCTCCAACCTTCCAACTCTGGCCACCAATAGTCCAAGTTCCGCAGCCACCACCATCACAACCACTCTCACCCATCGACCTTCTAAGCAGGGGCACCACCATGGCATTGGACTATCTCAGAGAGTCCAATGTGGACCTGGAGAACATGCTAGAAAAATTAGGGATGCCAAAGACAAAGGCCTTCCTCATGCAGGAACCCCTGGAGAGAGTTCAAAGAGCAATTAGGAGAAATGTTTATTGTTTTGTGCCCCAAAAAGCTCATAAGCTGCAAATTCAATCTTCGGGTACACTCATTTCCAAACTCAAAAAACTCAGCAGTGATTCTGGTCCCTCTTGTGGGTACCTTGAACCCAACCCCAATGAGCAAGGGGAAGGGAATCAAAAGGAAAGCTCCAACCCAAAACACCCTCTTAATGAACTTTATAGTATGGAATGCTAGGGGGGCCAACAGTGCGAAGTTTCGTAGGCACTGCTCATCTATGGTGAAGCTCCATAACCCTGTCGTACTGGTCTTGCTGGAGACAAGAATGGCAGACCACAAACACCTAACTGCTAAGCTCAAGTTTGATGCTCAATTCCAATACCCTGTTGCTGGACAGTCTGGTGGGATTGTTCTTATGTGGAAGGATGATCTGCTTAAGTTAGAAGAAGTAGCTACTACTCCACAGGGAGTGCATGTCATGGTCAAGGTACTCCCCTACTCCACTAAATGGCTTTTTTCTGCTATATATGCTAGTAACTGTGTCAATAATAGAAATAAGCTCTGGAATACATTAGAGGATCTGGCTTCTGTGTATGGGGGTAGTTGGCTCCTTGGATTCAATGAACTTCTAAAAGCCAGGGATAAGTTTGGAGCAATGTTATCAAAGACGAAAAGCGCAAAAAAACTCTAAGGTCCGTTAAGGCTTTAAGCGCAAATAAAGCGTGGGCTTTAATGAAAAAAGGCGCAACTAGAGAAAAAGTAAAAATATGTGTATGTAGTCCAACACTAATAATTTATAAGCATGAATAACAAATATATGGACAAAGAAATTAGAAAAAAATTACGAGAAAGTAAAATATCAATTGTTTAATGTCGTCTTTTTAGGATTACACTCATTGGCAAGGAAAAGTATGCCTTAGAGCCTTGATGAGATACTAAAGTGCACACAAAGCGAGGCGAAGCGCTCAATATATTTTGAGCCTCGCTTCAGGGCTTAAGTGTGCTTTAAGCGCGCCTCTGACAACACTGGTTTGGAGGTAATAGCTTGAACACTAATAGAAGCAATAGATTTTGGAAATGCTTGAACAGTTGCAAATTAGTGGACCTAGGTTTTAAAGGCTTTAAATATACTTGGTCTAATAAAAGATACTCCAATAAGCAAGACCTAATCCTAGAAAGAATTGATAGGTGCTTTGCAATTGATACTTGGATTGAGGAGTTCCCTAAATCAACTGTTACCCACCTTCCTAGGACTCACTCAGACCACTGTCCTCTTCTTTTAAGCCTAACCTAGCAGAATCACAACAAGGCCAACAAGCCTTTTAAGTTTGAATATATGTGGTGCAGCCACCCTGACTTCCTCTCTTTTGTGGAGGGCAGTTTTGATGCTAGTACTGATATCCTGAAAGCTACCTCTGTTTTTACCAATAGAGTAGCCGACTGGAATAAACATGTCTTTGGCAACATTTTCCTATTATATAGGAAAAGGCATATCCTTGCCAAACTTTCTAGCATTCAGAAGTCCAGTGCCTACCATTTTAGCATCTTCCTTCAGGAGCTTGAAGCCAAGCTCCAGCATGACTTCTCTGTCATTCTAAAGAGTGAAGAAGACTTCTAGAAGCTTAAATCCAGAATTAATTGGTTAAGTGAAGGTGATGCTAATACTAAATTCTTCCATATATCCACACTTCAGAGAAGAAGGAGGAACAGGATCATGTCCCTAAAGGATTAGGTGGGAAACAATATTTAGAATCCCAAGGACATTAAAGGCACAATCCTTAACTACTTTACCAAGATCTATACCACTAAACACAATACCTCAATGCTGAACAAGACCCACATCACTGATAGTACTAATGTACTGAATACCAGGGAGCAGGACACCATTGACTCCACCCTTAGGCTCTCTGAGATCAAGTGTGCCATGTTCTCCTTCAAGGCCATGAAGGCACCTGGGCCTGATGGCCTCCACCCCTTCTTCTATCAGAAGTACTAGCACATAGTCTCTAACAGTGTAATCCAATTCTGCAACACTGTCTTTTCCACAAGTATGGTCCCTCCTGAAATAAACCAAACCAACCTCTGCCTCATCCCTAAATGCCCTAATGCCACTATGCTGAAAAATTTCAAGCCAATTGGTCTGTGCAACACACGGTATAAGCTGATCACTAAGATGATTGTCCATAGAATCAAACCATTGCTTCAAAACATTATTGGCCCCACTCAAGCCAGCTTTCTAGCCAATAGAAGAGCCGTTGATAATGTCATTGTGGTCCAAGAGTACATTACCCACTTCCAAAACATGAAAGGTAAGAATGCCAACATAATCCTGAAAGTGGACTTAAAGAAGGCTTTTGATAAGTTAGAATGGTGTTTCATCATAGAATCCCTTCTCTTCTTCAAGTTCCCCATTAAACTTACCACCCTCATCATGTCATGTCTTACTAAAAGCTTCATCTCCATCCTTGTCAATAGTACCCATACTGATTACTTCAAGCCCAACAGAGGCATTAGGCAGGGGGATCGTATGTCTCCCTACCTGTTCATCATATGCATGGAAAAGCTTTCCAAAGATATTGACAATGCTGTAACTGATAAGGATTGGTTCCCTATCAGTATCAGCAGGGGAGGGCCTAGAATCTCCCACTTATTCTTTGTTGATGACCTCACTATGTTTGCCAGAGCCAATAAAAGAAATTATGAGACAATCTTAGCCATTTTGGGCAATTTCAATGTTGCATCTGGGCAGAAGGTCAACCTCCAAAAATCCAAAGTGATATTTTCCTCTAATTTCCAAGTAGAGTGTGCCACATCTTGCAGTGCCATTTTAGGTATCAAAGGTGCTAAAGACTTTGGGAAATATCTTGGTTTCCCCATCTTCACTAAAAGGCCTAGGAATAGTGACTTCCAGTTCATCATAGATAACCTTAACAGTAGAATGACAGGATGGAAAACCAAGTTCCTGAACATGGTTGGTCGAACCACTCTGGCCAAGTCTTGCCTTAGTAGCATCCCAAACCATGTCATGCAATACATCCAGTTACCCTCCCAAATTACCAACCAAATTGACGAAATCCAAAGGAATTTTATTTGGGTACAACTTCTATGAAAAGGAAGTTACACACGGTCAAGTGGGCCACAGCCACCAAACCAAAGAACAAGGGAGGGCTAGGCCTCCAGTAGTCCCACCTTAAAAACAAAACATGCCACACCAGTCTTGCTTGGAGACTCTACAATAATACTACCTCCGTCTGGGCTAGAGTGATCATGGGTAAGCACTGCAATGGAGGGGGAGTAGGGTTAAGGCTAAAACTAGAACCTAGAAAAATATTCAGGAGGCTGGAAGATTTGCACAAATTGCACTAGATGGGTGGTTCACAAAGAGGGCAGGGTTAGATTTCTTACTGACTCATGGTTGCCCAAGATGCAACCTCCGGATAAAATCCTTAATGGTCCATGGCACCACAGAGACATGAACACCAAAATTAATTAAGTGTTCTCCAATGGGGTTTCGTATTTCAGCTACATTCCTTACCCAATACCCATAACATCATCTTGATATTACAAAACACCTTCATCCCCACCTCCACCTCTGTTGAGGATAAACCAATCTGGAACCTTAACCCCAGTGGCACGTTTATTACCAAATCAGTCTACTCCTATCTTGATGCACTTATGCACAATGACAATTCTAACGAAGACCACTTCAGCTGGATTTGGAAACTAAAGACCCCTAATGAAATCAAGTTCTTCATATCGCTCATGCAACAAAACAGGCTGCCTACGGGGAATCACTTACATCACATTGGCCTGAGATTTATCCCTAATTGTTACTTCTGTGATCATGCAACAGAAGACATACACCACATCTTCTTTGAATGTGCCAATGCCAAAAAGTTCTGGCAGCGTTTGTTGCACAACTGCACCCAAAAGCCTAGCCTTAGTGTAAACCCCTTTTCTATGCCAAATTGGGAAGACACATAGCATAGGCTCCAAAATGTGGACTACAATGCTTGCATCACATGGAAACAACTTCTGCCCTTCTGCCTCTGGGCAATCTGGCTAACCAGGAACTCTAATATCTTTGAAAAAAGGAAAAATCATGTCAATGTTCACCAAACAATAGCTGAGACTGTTGAATACCACCATGTAGCAGCCACTTTAAGGGCGGTGAGAGCAACAACCACCTTATACCTAAAGTGGCGACCACCGGATAAAGGCTATTATAAGCTGAACACTGATGGAGGTGCATGCCTTAACACAGGGAAAGGGGTATATGGGGAGTATTCAAAAACAGCAAGGATGACTGGATCTTAGGCTTCATGAGGGGGCTCCCAAACACTGATAGTCTTAGGGCAGAGCTCCAAGCCCTATGGTCAGGGCTAAAAATAGCCCTAAATCAAGGCTTGTCACCTCTGGTGATTGACACCGACTCTGAAATGGTGTTGGAAATGTTAAAGAATGGCAACTTAACTCACAACCCCATAATTTCTGAATGCAGGTATCTGATGGAGCAGTTGGGGAACCCAGTCACAGGCCATAGTTACCGGGGGCAGAATCAAGTGGCGGACCTCCTGGCAAAGGAAGGAGCTAGGAAGGAAGTTTTTGACGAGACCCAATTTTTGGCAGTTCCTCAGGTGTTTGCAAACGAAGCAGTGTGGACAGACATCTTAGGAACTGTTTTTGAAAGAAAAATCAATGTTTGTAATAGGGAGACTTTGGTAGACATTGATGACAATCAACGGGGGATCTCATCCCCCCTTATATTGATGTAATTTTGTGAATGTTTATATATATATATATATCAAGTTAACCAAGAAAAAAATACTAAACATTAGTCTAAATTTTCAACCGGTCCGGTTTCAAAAGAATGGTAGGACTCAAAGCACGAGAATCAAACCATTTAATTTGCAATCTCAATCCATAAATCATTTCATTTATATTTTTGAGAGTGTTTATATATATATATATATATATATATATATGAAAATTATATAAAGGCACACCAAATAATAACTTATATTATTTACGATATTTTTCAAAAACATATTGTGAACGAAATGCTATTTAACTCTCCAAATAGTAATAGTAGAGTATAACTAGTGGAATATAAAATGACAAGTGGAGTATATATTAAAAGAAAATAACTAGATTTGAATGTCAAACAAGTAAAAGTACAATAAATTGAACAAGCAAAAGACTAGACATGAACAACTATAATTAAATAGCTACAAATTTGTCTCATATTTTTCGTTAAGAACCTAAAGGTCTTTTTCCTTTTGACCTTGGATTATACATACATGCAAGCACGAAATACACTATAACAACTTCATTTTTTTTTGATAAGGTAAATTGAATTAATCAAAAGGGACTCTCGTATACAGGAAGTATACCAAAAAGTAGAGAATTTACATCAGAACATGATTCTCTACAAAAGACGCCCAATTTTCTATACAAGTAGGAGCTATATGAGTGCACCAAAAAGCGATCAAAGATAAAAGACTATTCTTAAGATGTGAAAAAGGAGACTCAATCCCCTCAAAAGCCCTCCTATTTCTCTCCCCCCAAACTATCCACATGAGAGCAAACGGGGCGAACTTCCACCCCTTTTGCTTTCTTCTTCTACGGAAACCAGCCCAGCTATATAACATTTTCTTTACAGTGCTTGGCATCACCCATTGAACACCAAGATTCAGGATTGCCCTCCACAAAGCCGAGAACACAGGGCAATGCAACAAAAGATGATCAACTTCTTTCCTTGAGCTTTTACACATGTAGCACCAACTAACAAGTGTAATTCTTCTCTTTCGCAGATTTTCAGCAGTCAAAAGCATTCCCCTTGCCGCTAGCCATGCAAAAAAGCACACCTTCGTGGGCGCCTTAGGAATCCAGGTCGAGGAGTATGGAAAAGTGGCCTCCTCTCTCACCAACATACTCTGGTAAAAGGACTTCACGGTAAACAAACCATCGCCACGCAAACCCCATCTCCAAGAATCACAAGATGGCTGGGGCGTGTCTTGCCCATATAGCAGTGTCAACAAATCTTGGAGCTCCGCAATCTTCCAATCTTGCATGTTCCTTCTAAATGAGAGGTCCCATACTACCCCCCCCCCCTTTCCTTCATGCTCCTTACGAATCTGTTGGACCATCAATTCCTTCTGGTTTGAAACTCTGAAGACGCGGGAAAGGAGACCCTCAGAGTTTCTCTCCACACCACCTATGATACCAAAAGCTGATTCTCCTTCCATCTCCCACCTTGCAAGTGATGTTGCCACTGAAGGCTTCCCAATTCTTCACGATGCTCCTCCACATGCCACACCCGAAAGGTGTTGTGATTGCCTTGGTCCTCCAACCCCCTCCCGTGGAATCGTACTTTTCTACTATGACCTTCCTCCATAGAGCATGTTCTTCTACCCCGAATCTCCACAACCACTTCCCCAACAAAGCTTTGTTGAATACCCTAAGATCTTTTACTCCAAGTCTACCCCACTTCTTTGGGGAAGTGACTGTCTGCCAATTCACTAGATAAAACTTTCTAGTTCCATCAGCTGCATCCCAAATTAGATTCCTTTGAAGCCACTCCAGTTTTTCTGTGAGGCTTACAGGAGCTTGCAACAAGGACAAGTAATAGGTGGGCATACTCGATAAAGTGCTTTTAATAAGCACTTCCTTACCGCCTTTTGACAAGTACCGTTTCTGCCAGACTGCTAATCTTTTTTCAACCCTTTCGATCACTGGATTTCAAACTTGTGAGAATGCACGGGAGAAAAATCTATTTATTGATTAATTACGACAATGATACAATGAGCCCTATATATATATAATACATGTCCTACTCCTAATACATATGGGATTAGAGTTATTTACTACTATCTAACAATCAAACTAATACTCCCCCTCAAGCTGGTGCATATAAATCATATGTACCGAGCTTGTTACATATATAACTAATATGAGGACCAGTGAGGGACTTGGTGAAAATATCAGCAAGCTGATCATTCGACTTCACAAATTTTGTAGCAGTATCTCCCGAGAGTATCTTTTCTCTAACAAAGTGACAGTCAATCTCGATGTGTTTAGTTCTCTCATGGAACACTGGATTTGACGCAATATGAAGAGCAGCTTCATTATCACACACAAGTCCCATCTGACTAATCTCACCAAATTTCAACTCTTTGAGCAACTGTTTGAGCCAAATTAGCTCACATGTCGCCATAGCCATTGCTCGATATTCTGCTTCTGCACTAGACCGAGCAACCACATTCTATTTCTTGCTCTTCCAAGACACCAAATTTCGTCCTACTAAGACACAATATCCAGATGTAGAACGTCTATCAGAAGGTGATCCTGCCCAATCAGCATCTGAGTATCCAACGATCTCCTCGTGGCCTCGATCCTCAAACAATAACCCTTTGCCTGGAGCTTATTTTATATACCGAAGAATGCGGACAACTGCATCCCAATGACTATCACATGGAGATCCATAAACTAACTCACAACACTCACAAGAAAGGAAATATCAGGTCTAGTCGCTGTGAGGTAATTAAATTTAGGAATTTTTACCTCCTATAGCAAAGGTTAACACCTTAATTATTTTAAATAAATACCATTTAAAAAAATTATATTCTATAGATACCTTTTAATGTTTATAGCAAAACATCTAATTTTGGTTACCTCCTACCCCTAAGCCACTAAATACGCTATTCAGTTACACTATTTTCTTTCTCTCTACTTTGATACATGCCATTCTCTCCCCCCATTCCCTAAAAATACGATGCTCAATCTCAAAATTCCTACCCACATCACCTACCACATAACATAAACTGCAACAAAACAAATTCACATCAAAATTACGTTTTCTAACTTGATTCTTTCTCATTTCCTGTCGGAGTTCACGTTTTATTTGCCAACTTAGATGCCCAAAAACTAGTAGTTTGTGAATTCCGCTCCATTTGTCTCTTCCTTCTTTCGGGTCCAATTCAACTATGTAACAGGGGATCTTGCTCCTTCTGCTACTCAATTTGATTAATTTTTTTTCATGTTGTTTGCTTTGGTGATTTGGGGTTTTTTAGATGGATGATGACGACGAGGAAGATTTGCTGTACAGAGTTGAAGATATGATTGACTTCTGCAGTTACTGCAAACAAAGGATGATGAGAGACAAGAGGGACATAAGGCCTATAATTTTGATGTTCAATTTGTAATTTTGATGCGTGGGAACAGTGACATTCAGGGTTTTTGCTCGACGGCGGATTCGCCTGAAATTAGGGTTTGTTCTTGAACAAAGACGGCAGAGTTTGGGGCTGAGCAACTTGATTTTCTGTTAATATATTTCAATGTATTTTCAACGTATCATGCTGTATTTTCATGTATTTCATTGCATTCGTTGTCTTTTTTTCATTGTAATTCAATGTATCTCGCTGTATTCCGTGTATTTCATTGTATTCACTGTCTTTTTTTCATTGTATTTCAATGTATCGCGTTGTATTATATGTATTTCATTGTATTCACTGTCTCGCTATATGCCATGAATGTATTCATATATTTTTTTTTTAATTAATATAATTTATGTATTCAGATGTATTATATAATTTCTCTGAAGATTGCTCTGTTTTTGGGGTATTTTTAGGTTGAGAATCTTTTTTATAACTGGAAATACAAAATTTGTGTGTTATTATTGAGTTTGTTGAGTTATATTAGGAGTCTATTATGTTAATTGATTCACTTTCCGTTTAAAAACAGTGTAATCCCCTGTTTCACGCCGTGAATACGGTCGAATACAGTCGAATACAATAATCTGTCCAGCTGTAATCCCATGTTTCACGCCATGAATACAGTCGAATACACTCGAATACAACAACTGATTAGCTGGACTTCCCTGATTCACGCCTATTTTTGCTACTGTATTCATGAATACAATAGCTTAAATACATCTAATACATCTTATAACAACAGAAAACGTATCTACAATCCGTAATATAGCAAATGGTATCTATAGATAGCTAATTACCACTAAAAGATAGTGCTTTATGAAAATTTCTCTTAAATTTACCAACCAACCGCCTATATCTTGCAGGATCGCTAAGAGGCTCCCCCTGTCTTGGCAGAAGTTTAGAATTCAGATCCATCGGACTGTCAACAGTTCTACAACTTGTCATTCATGTCTCCTCAAGAATATCTAAGGCATACTTCCGTTGTGAGATCACAATACCTGAGCTAGACTGAGTGACCTCAATACCTAGAAAATACTTTAATCTGCCCAGATCCTTAGTATGAAAGTGATGAAAGAGATGTTGCTTCAACTTACTAATACCATCCTGATCATTGCCGGTAATAACAATATCGTCAACATAAACGACCAGATAAATACAGAGATTTGAAGCAAAATGTCGATAAAATACAGAGTGATCAGCTTCACTACGAGTCATGCCAAACTACTGAATAACTGTGCTGAACTTACCAAACCAGGCTCGAGGAGACTGCTTTAGACCATAGAGGGACCGGCACAACCGACATACAAGGCCACTAGACTCCCCCTGAACAACAAAACCAGGTGGTTGCTCCATATAAACCTCATCCTCAAGGTCACCTTGAAGAAAAGCATTCTTAATGTCCAACTCATAGAGAGGCCAATGGCGAACAGATGCAATTTTAGCCACGGGAGAGAAAGTATCACTGTAATCGAGTCCAAATATCTGAGTATATCCTCTGGCAACAAGACGAGCCTTAAGTCGATCAACCTGGCCATCTGGACCAACTTTGACTGCATACACCCAACGACAACCAACAGTCGATTTACCCGAAGGAAGAGGAACAACCTCCCAAGTACCACTCGTATGTAAAGCAGACATCTCGTCAATCATAGTCTGTCGCCATCCGGGATGAGACAGTGCTTCACCTGTAGACTTAGGGATGGAAACAGAGGACAAAGATGACACAAATGCACAATGGAATGGTGAGAGACGATGGTAACTTAAACCGACATAATGAGGATTAGGATTAAGTGTGGACCGTCTACCTTTTCGTAGTGCAATCGGTTGATTAAGAGGAGACAAGTCCGCAGTATTAGCAGGGTCAGGTGCAGGACGTGAATCAGTTGGGCCTGATGTTGGGTGCGGACGACGATGATAAGTCAGGAGTGGTGGAGCTGTAGAAGGTTGAACTGGACTAGGTGGTGGCACTGGAGCTATAGTTGGTGGCACTGGACTCGTTGGTGGCACTGGACTCTGTGGTGGCACTAGAGCTATAGGCGGTGGAGCTGCAACTGGAACTGTAGGTGGTGGAGCTATGGAGGAAGATGAATGGGAGATAGGAGCTGAATCTCCAAAAGAAGGAACTGGTAGCACCTCATAAATATCTAAGTGATTAACTGGACCTGTGAAGTATGATTGGGTTTCAAAGAAGGTAACATCAGCAGACATAAAAAATCGCTGAAGGTCAGGAGAATAACATCGATATCCCTTTTGCGTTCTCGAGTAACTCAGAAATATGCACTTAAGAGCACGAGGAGCTAACTTATCTTTTCCTGGAGTAAGGTCATGAACAAACCACGTACTCCCAAAGACACGGGGTGGAAGAGAGAACAAAGGTAAGTGGGAAAACAGGACACAGAATGGAACTTGATTTTGGATAGCTGAAGATGGCATACAATTAATAAGATAACAAGATGTAAGAAATGCATCTCCCTAAAAACGCAGTGGAACATGAGATTGTATGAGTAGGGTACGAGCAGTTTCAATAAGATGTCTATTCTTTCTTTCAACTACCCCATTTTGTTGGGATGTGTACGAACAAGATGTTTGATGAATAATCCCATGGGAGTTCATAAACTGCTGAAATGGGGAAGACAGATACTCTAGGGCATTATCACTACGAAATGTGCGGATAGAAACCCCAAATTGATTTTGAATTTCAGCGTGGAAGGTCTGGAAAATAGAAAATAACTCAGACCGATTTTTCATCAAAAATATCCAAGTGCACCCGGAATAATCATCAATGAAACTGACAAAGTAGCGGAATCCCAAGGTAGAACTGACCCGACTAAGACCCCAACCATCTGAATGGACTAAAGTAAAAGGTGACTCTGCTCGATTATCAAGACGTCGCGGGAAATGGGAGCGGGTATGCTTACCGAGCTGACATGACTCACACTCTAGAGTGGACAAGTGAGATAAGCCAGGTACCATTTTCTGAAGTTTTGACAAACTAGGATGTCCTAACCGTTTATGTAATAAATCTAGTGTATCAGTAACGGGACAAGTTTTTGGAGGAAGACAAGATGCGAGTCCATGTGATTTTGCAAGGATAAGGTAATAAAGTCCATCTGATTCACGCCCGGTACCAATGATCCGCCCTGTACTGCGTTCCTGTATAAAAACAAGGTCATCGAGAAATAAAACAGCAAATTTAAGTGATTTGGCTAAGCGACTAACGGCTATGAGATTAAAAGGACTACCAGGAACATAAAAAACGGAGTCTAAAGGTAAGGAAGGAAGTGGACTTGCTTGACCTATTGCAGTTGCTTTGTACTGAAGGAATTCAATATAATCCGGTAAAGAAACCATCTGGATTGGATTTAATGCATTGGATCCAACAAATTGTGAGTTAAAGGCTTCCGATACGAATGCCATTATAATATCGTGCCGGAAAAAGCAGAAATTTTCTGGGGATCACTGTTCACGCCGGAAAAATCACTGTAGCTCGCCGGAAAATTCCAAAGTTGTCGGAATCTGTCGGAAATAGTACCAATGGACTCGGAATTGCAAGGAGATGAAGTTGTCCTGAAGAATTTTTTTCAAAATCTTACCGGAAGAGGTCACACGCGCCGGCGAGTGTGACAGACGCGCCGCCGGGAGCAGATCTTCGACAGGCGCGTGAAGGCGCGTGGTGGGTGAGTATTTTCCGGTGAATTTTTCTGGGGTTTGGTCGGATCTCTCTTGGGAAACTTGTGGTGGTGTTGGATTTTTCACAACACTGATAATTAGTGACTTCAATTGATCCATATCGGTATCACAGAAAACCAAGGTGTCATCCACAAAGAGCAAATGAGAGACTCTTCGGGCGCTGAGCACCCCGATCGGAGCTAAGAATCCTCTCAAGAAGCCACCGCCTGCCTCACGATCCATCATTTTACTCAGAGCATCCATCACTAGAATGAATAGCATAGGGGATAGGGGGTCACCTTGCCTGAGACCCCTGGAGCTGCCAAAGAAACCACACGGGCTACCATTAACCAGGACAGAGAATCTGACTGAGGAAATGCAGAACTTGATCCATCCCCTCCATCTTGCCCAAACCCCATCCACATCATAATGAAATCCATGAACTCCTAATTGACATGGTCGAAAGCCTTCTCAAGGTCCAACTTGCATAGTAAGTCGGGTTCTTTATTTTTCCTTCTGGAGTCTACAAGTTCATTTGCCACCAAAGCAGCATCCAGGATCTGCCTACCTTCCACAAACGGATTCTGGAAGAACGAAACAAACACGTCAAGAACCTTCTTGAGTTTGTTAAAAAGCACTTTAGAGATAATCTTGTAAATGCTCCTCGCGAGACTAATAGGCATGTAGTCTCTGATACAAAATGCACCTTCTTTCTTAGGCACAATAATAATAAAAGAAGCATTGATACTTCTCTCGGAAACACCATTCACATGGAAGTATTCAATGGTTTCCATCAACTCCTCCTTATGGTGTCCCAACAGAGCTGGAAGAAGGCCAAGGAGAAACCATAAGGCCTGGGGACCTTATCACCAGCACAACTCGACACAGCCTCGTGCACCTCCTCCTCCTCAAAAGCCCTTTCTAGCCACTCATTGTCTCCCTCCCCTATGTGGTTGAACTCTATTCCCCCCAAAGTCGGCCTCCAACTAACTTCCTCTTTGTATAAGTTCTCATAAAACCCTACTATCGCCCCTTTTACCTCATCCTCTCCCTCAATCCTCACCCCATCCACAACTAAGGACTCTATGAAGTTTCTCCTTCGATTTGCAACCGCCACCCTGTGGAATTCGAATCCCCAGGGCGCCTTCGATTTTTGCCGCCAACTAGTCTCCTGAGCTATTGCTAACTCGACTATTTCCCTATTAACATCCCCCAATCTCGCTTTCTCATATTCATCTAACTCCCTCGCCCCTTCCCCTCTCTCTAATTCTCCCAATTCATGCATAAGCTCCATCATTTTAACCTCTACCCTCCCAAAAACCTCCTTATTCCACCTAATAATATCTCCTTTGAGCAATTTAAGTTTCTTCGAAAGACGAAATGAAGGCGTCCCTAATACCCCGTAGCTTGTCCACCATTCTTTCACCTTGTCACCAAATCCTGGCACTTTCAACCACATATTCTCGAATCGGAAAGGAGCACGCACCCCCGTCCCTCTGAATCCATCTAGCAAGATAGGCAAATGATCTGAAATCAGCCTAGGTAAAGGAATCTGCAGCACATTCAGCACCAGCTCATCCCAGGAGAAAGATATCAGAAATATATCAAGTCTAGACCTTGAGTTGGAATCCTCCGCCCTGGCCCAAGTAACATTTCCTCTGACAGAGGAAGATCAAATGAGAAAGTGATCATTGATGAAGTCAGAAAACTCCTCCATGGCCCTCGAAATCAGAGTACACCGTAATCTTTGCTCCGGGAACCTAATAGTGTTAAAGTCTCCCCCTAGAACCCATGGAATATCCCATTCCCCCATCACATTGGCCAGTTCCTCCTAGAAAAACAGCTTGGACCCTTCTCCTACCGGTCCGTACACTCCCCCAAATCCCGACTCCACCCCACTCACTCTATCTTTGACAAGTGCTACTAAAGAAAAAACTCCCTTCTTAATCTCCTTTACCTCCAAGTTTCTATCATCCCACATTAGAATAATGCCCCCGGCACTTCCCACTGCTGGAACCCAGTCATATTTTACCCAACTACCTCCCCAAACACTCCTCGCAATCTCATCCGACAAACTTCCATTTTTTTCTCATGAAAACAAACTAGGTTAGCACCCCACTCTCTAACCCTTAGGGTACGTGCTTTGCGCATGTATCCTATTTCAATGAGTGTATAATTTTAAAAAATAACGTGACTATTATTAAATAATATATTTGTGATATTGAACAAAAATTGAAAAATATTAGCCCTTAATAATGAATGCTGCTCCAATTTAGCTTGTTCACTAAATAAAGAAATCTAGTCCAATAAAAGTTTATTATCAGAACTTTAGGACTATATTATGAAAACTCTCATTAATTTTGTTACCTAATACTGAAAATAAGTAACAAATTAATACTATAATATACCTAATTTTTCTCAATTTTTAATTTGTGTCACCACTAGTGCTCTTCTTATGGAAATAAATTTGTGTAACTTAAAGAGTTTGATCAGCTTAAAAAATAACTTTACTAACATGAGATTTTGAAAAAGAATTAAATTGGATTCTTTTGCTAATTAATTAATTCAAAGAGTTGATTATTTATTCTTAACATTACAAAAAATAATTTATTTATCTTTTTGCATTGGGGATTTTTACTTTTATAATAATAATAGAGAAAATATAAATAATTTTTGGACTTCTTCCGTATGCAAAAAATACTTTCTTTTCATTATTTTTATGTAATATTTAAAAACTATATTTAATAATTAAAAAATTTATTAAGCATAAACCACTTACTATCCCCTAAAATTCTAAGTTACCTATTACTACGAGCCCTCTGCCCCACGCACCTAACCAGCTCGCGTGATTTACCAGTTCCACCGACTAGACCAAAAGAGTGATCCAGTCGATACAGAGGTGCGCTTGAAGGGGGGGTGTTGTCCCTATTGGGATGGGCCCTATCCCATAAGGCCCCACCGTCAGGGCATAAGCGCCCTCTTGCTACCCATATGTGAGGCGTCCTCTTAGCCTTCCCTGACCAGGACCATACCTGTAGCATTCGTGATCAGCCTCCTTAGGACAATGAATGCCTAAACATATTTCAAAAGGAAATTGCCGTAAGAAAATACAAGGAAAAGAAAACATACTCCTAGTTCTCCCCGATAATATTTATTTTGAAATCCAANGGAACTTCAGCTCTAGAGCTTAAAACCCTTGAGTATGTACTGCTGAAGTTTCTATTTTAAAACTTCAGCTCGAGGAACGCACTATGGTTCTGCTTGACCATAGCATCTCGACGATGGAGACGCACTATGGTTCTGCTTGAATTTGCTCTATTTTGTTTCGTATCTGACAATCCATTTATTTGGTATTCCAAAACATAAAGATGAATGCTTGTTAGCATCACATCATTCAGTCATTAAACCATTATATATATATATATATATATATATATATATAAAACAAAAATAAGACGTGGGCTAGATGAACGAGCCTGCAGGGCTTAACTTCTCCACGACTATATTTTCACCAAGGCTAGATGAGCCAAGTGGGTCATGAGCCTATGGACGGTCCAAATATAAATGTTATTTTTCTTTTCACATCCATTCTTCCCTTTTTATCTTCCTGCTGTCAATAAATCTTCTAACCTTTCCCCGGTAAATGATGTTATCTCCCTTTTAGATTTCATTAACTCTATTACCTTGGTTTAGTTGCCAGGTTTGTTTTGATACTGGTTAGCTCATAGTCTGGTACAGGTTTTTTTTGTAATAGGAGCTATCCTTTTATCCTCTTTTGTATTCTCTTGCATTTTCTTGACGCCTTTTATATAACACCTTAGATCGTCAAAAAAATCCTCTAAAGTAAAGAACAAAAAACATTTGAAAGAAAGGGTCAATTCACTCTTCTATTTTTTAGAACTCTTGAATTCATTTAACAAAAAAACAAATTTAGCAATTATCCTTCACAAGGTCGTGAAATCTCACACAAACAATCAACGTAAATGAATGTATGTCCACGATATTTTAGAAAATCATTGTTATTAAGAAATGCACATAAATTAACTATTTGTTGTAAACATAACAACACTATTTTAAAATTTCCTATGGGTGGAATTTACTAAGAATTACTTTTGTTAACCTTTTGTACTTTGTTTATTGGCTCAGGTCTCTCAGTTACTAGAAAGGAAAAGAAAGAGTTCAAAAATTAACTTCCCTATACCTTTATTAAGGATTAGAGAAGTGTGTGGTCCAGATGGTATCCCGAGTATTTTGTAAAGGTGATTGTAGGATGGCTACCAAACTATTTAATATAATACTAAGAAGTAGTAGGATAGTCGAAGAGTGCAGGAAGAGTACATTGATTCCATTATATATATGAAGAATGGAGATACCCAAAGTTGTGCAAATTATCATGGCATTAAACTTATGCGCCATGACACTCTGGCAAAGAATGACATAGCATAGACATAGGGATACTGCAAGAGTAGAAGAAAACCAATTTGGATTTATGCCAGATCTACAATGAAGGCCATAATCTTACTAAGAAAATGATGGAATTTTATCACAAGAAGAAGAAAAATCTACAAACGACGTTCATTGACCAAGAGCAAACATATGATAAGAGGACAAAGAAAGGTCCTTTGTTGGATGTTCAAGAAGAAAGGAATTCATATTAAAATTTAAATGTCATAAAGAATATGTATCACTAGTATGAAAACAATAAAAGAGAATACTGGATTTTTCCCACCGTGCGACGATCAACATTGAACCTTACTGGTTTATATTTGTAGAATCACATCAAACACTTTTGTCACGTAGAAAATGAAGAGTGTGTTATATAATAAGAACAGAAGTAGAATAATCGAAATAAAGGATCACTCAAATAGAACTTTGCAGTCCAACTCCCACCATTTTAACTGGTCTCTGTTAGATTATCCTCATCTCTTCTCTTACTTGAAAAGTGAACTTTTGAATTTTTTTAGCACTAGTTGTAATGCTAAGAATAGGTCAAAGGCTCTCCACTCTCCCATCTACTTATCCTTCCAAAGTTACAGAGATTCTAGTATTCTACTGCTACTAGTGTGCGTGGAGGAAAGAGGAGCAACCAAATTGCTAAACTTTAAGATGCTGTTACAATTGATAATGACGCCTGTCTATACAGATTGTCAACTCAGACAAAACACACTCTTCGTCTATTTGGCAAGAGGGCCAGATACTTTTTCTTTTTTTAGAATGGTACAGTACAAGAGGGCAAGAATCTTCATAGTTAAAATATGACTGGCAGGCAAGCGTAGTGTATTCTAGCACCAAATTCTCTAACAAATCTTACTCCTGGCCTTCGGACAACTACCAATCAAACTAAATGATTTCTCCATTCAACCTATACTACTCTCCAAATGAAACTCAACCAAATGGCAGGTCGTGTTATCCATACATCTCCAACTACCCAACCACAGTTACAAACCGTTTTATAACTAAATTTCCCTCCCAGAGAAATTACCCATCAGCAGAGTAATCAGAATAATTAGTGCAAAAAGGATTAACTGATAGATTCTCACCAGACCACTTCTACCCCATAGATCATCCTGAAATCCATCATTGTCATCAAAAAGATGCAGGCACTATATCATTCAAAATGCATGGTTTTGCCCTAAATGTGCTATGGTCGCTTATGATGCATTTTTACTTATGAAGGGTGCTTTAGACACTAAGTTATATCAGAACTACAGTCTAAGGAAAGTTCATTACCTTCTAATTCCTTCTCCGAATTACATATTCTTGAAGGGAGAGGCAATTATGCAAAGGAACTATG